AAACCAGGCAACCTGTATCCATGAGCAAGTTCCAATTTTTTTATCAGCTAGTCATGAAAGTTCAACTGTGTATATACAACACCTGAAGTGGGTTTGTGCCCTACCTACGCTGTGCACTGAAAGCATACTTCATGAGGGCAAGTTCTAAAATAACACCTGACTATTAAAGCAGGAGTTTGAGTAATACTATGCTTGCTTAAGTCCACATGCACTACAGCAACCTGAGTCCTAGAAAGGCGAACTGTCCAGGACCGTCCAGTGATGATGTGTCAATTTAAGAGAAAAGAAACCAGGAGTCCTGACTCTCACTCACACCCTTCACCACAGCCTAAGTCTGTCTGCTAGAAAACACTTAGGAAAATTGCCACTGTGCCATGATGTCTCTGGGAAAGAGAGGTAGCACTAACAGTGCTGGAATCACTGCCTTGCGCAGGAAGGGCTCCCCCTGGCTCCCGCTCTTATGGGCCAGTGAATGCTCTAGAGCACAGTGCAAACGTGGCCAGGGGGCCCGAGTCCCTTGATGATACAAACCACAAGCCAACCTGAAGGAGACTAACATCACTGATCGTGAAAGGAGACTGACCAGAACAGTAACCCAACCCAACACACACACACACACACACACACACACACACACACACACACAATTAACATTAATTCGTTGGCGGGGTATAGGCTGGGGGCTGTGCAGGGGTCTTCCCTTTGACAGTTCTTTCAGCCTGTAGCTTCAGCTCACACAAAAAGCTCAGAAAAGGTTTGCCAGAAGAAAACTGAATGGAGATAACTGAACCAGAGGGAAATTTAATGGAGATAATTGTCATGTGGCAGTTTACCTGCACGGAGAAAAGGAGGTTACAGAGCAAGATCACTAGCATAATGTGGGTGCCACTCCATACCACAGGAACATGGGACACTATTCCTGCCCTTTGGATGAATGTTGCTCAGTGGCCTGACAGCTTCCAAGGGAGCATGCTGCTAGAAAGCCACATCCCAGTCTGGTTGCTAGAGCAACGTAATATTCAGTTATGTACTGGGAGACCACATACACTCTCCTGAAAGTAGCCTGTGTGGGTAGACACATCTGGCATCAGTGTCAGCATCCTGCTCAGCTCAGGCTGCTGTGACAAGCTACCATAGACTAGATAACTTAAACAGTGGAAATGTATTTCTCACAGTTCTGGGGATTGGAAGTTCAAGATCACAATGGCAACATGGTTTGATTCTCGGTGAGGACCCTCTTCCTGGCTTGCACATAGCTGCCATCTTGCTGTATGCTCACATGGTAGAGAGAGAAAGAACTCTCTGGTTCCATGCTTATGACCTCACCTAAATCTAGTTCTCTCTCAAAAGCCCCACTTCCTACTACCATCACCTTGGGAGTCAGGGTGTCAACACATACCTTTTGGGGGGACACAAACAGTCCATAAGAGATAGCATGAAACAGCTCCCCACATCACTGGCAACTGTGCTACCCTTTCTGGACTTTTCCTTTTCTAAGGTGGTTTAGGGGATGTTCTCCATCCCCACCTGCTTACATTTAAAGGCAGGACAAAGCCTTCCCTGAGGAGATCAAAGGATGCGCCTGCTGTGACCTAGAAGATATGCTCAGGAAGGTCATGTGTTTTGGGCTGGGGGTGAACTTGGTAAGTGACCGCTGACTACTTGAAGTTCATTGCCAGGAAGATCCTTGGAGGTGGAACACTAAAGGCCTCTGAACCATGGTGGAAGAGGGAGGTTAACATGTTAGATATCCTAATCTTCAGTCCCCCTAAAAATCATAGCAGCTACTTGTCTTATCAGCTGGAGCCTGTAGAGTAACTCTCTTCTCACCCTCCTTTAATGGGCAGAGGAAAGACAATGATAAATTCACAGCAGAAGGAAGTTTTGCATCACTTCTAGAGAATAATTCAAGGCAGACTATTTCCCCTGCTCAGCCACCCTTCCATGAGAATGAAGGAACTCCAGTTTCTAGACCATGCTTAAGAAACTCCAGTCCCCTGGGAATTCTTTCCCAGGCCCCTGAGTTGGCGGGTTCAACACAGTAGCAAGATGATGTTCCTTTCCCTCCACCCCTTGAAGGACTTCTGAATGAAATGCTTTGGGAAAATTTGTTCCCTTTTGTGTCTCTCAAAGGCCTCAAAGTGTCTCTAGTGCCAGAATGATGCCATCTGTGTGGAAAGGGCCTGCTCCTGGGCCAAGCTCAGAACTGGCCAGTTCCATTTCTGAGGTCCTTTTGAATTCTGCGCAGACTCCAGAAGGCCCAAAGAACAGCCCCGACCCAAACCCGAGACCTATGCCTCAGGAATCTGAGCAGAAACTCACTCTAAAAGCACTTTGGGCAGCTGGGAATGCAGCCAAGAGACCTTTTAGCCAAGTCCTTTTCTGTTTTTTGTTAACCTTTCACAATATTGTTCAAATTCAGAGGTGTAGTACTCAACTGCAATGATACAAATGAACCTTGTACCATTACAAACCAAAATCAAATATATTCCAGTTGATCAACCTTCTACTTTCCAACCTGAGCTATTTTCCCTACAATTTTATTATAAAAATTTTCAAACATAAAGAAAAGTTGCACAAATATTATAATGAACACCCCGTATTCTCAACACTTAGGTTCTATGATTAACATTTTCTTCATGTACTTTATCATGTCTATCCATCTACTCATCCCTCTATCTAATTGTGAGTCCACATGTTGATGCATTTCAGTTTTATACATCAATAAATAGTAAACTAACTACTTCAGTTTGTATGTCATTAACTGTTTAATTATTTTCATAATTCTTTTCCTTTTGAGGTAAAATGTATAGGTTATGCAATGCAGAAATCTGAGCCATTTGCATATACTTGTGCACAGGCAGTGACCAATACGCACACTTATAACCCTAAATCTTATCAAGACATAGGCACTATCATCACCAGAAAGTCCCCTCATGTTCCATCCCAGTCATTCTCCTCTCCCATCCATCCAGAGGCAACCACTGGTCCGATTTTTCCTACTACTCACACACTTTCCTGTTCTCAACCTTTATCTGAATGGAACTGCTAATGTGGGAAGGTTTGTGCCCCTCCAAATTCATATGTTAAAACCTAGCCCCAAGCCATAGTAGGGGTATTAGTAATGCTATGAATAGGTGAGGCCTTTGAGAGCTAATTAGGTCATGAAAGCAGAATCCTCCTGAATGGGATTAGTGTCCTTATAAAAGAGGCCCCAGAGAGCTCTCTCACCTCCTCCTCCATTTGAGAACATAGCAAAAGGATGGCTGTCTCAGAAGCGAGCATTTGTCAGACATGAAATCTGCAGCTGCCTGCATCCTGGACTTTCTGGCCTCCAGAATTGGGAGAAATAGTTGTTTATAAGCCATCCCATTTATGGTATTTTTGTTATAGCATCACAAAAGGACCGAGACAGGAACTATTAGTGTAAAATCTTTTGTGTAAGGCTTCTCTCATTCAGCATGATGTTTGAGACTCACCCAGACTGTTACGGATCAGTAGTTCATCCCTTTTCATTACTGGGTAGTGTTCCACTGTGTGACTATACCACAGTTTGTATATTCATTGTCTTCTTAATGGACGCCTAGGCTTCTGGTTTTAGACTATTATGGATAAAGCTACTAAGAACAATTTTGTACAAATCTTCTGTGGACATATGTTTTCATTTCCCTTTGGTAAATACTCAGGAATGAAATTACTGGATCATGGGGTAGATGTATCAATGTTTATGTTACACTCGCACCAATGATGTAACAGAGTGTGGTTGCTCCACATCCTCACCAATATTTGAGTTTATCAATCTTTCTCATTTTAGTTATTCTGGTGGGTTTGAAGTTATTTAAGCTGTTATTTTGCCAAATGTTCCAAATTAGCAAAAAAATATACAGGGATCAACTTTGAAAGAAACATTGGTTGAAGGAAACCTAGAGGTTGGCATATATGATATTAGAAAAGTTCAACTATCCAAACTCAGCTGGAGAGAGTAAGAGCGGGCGAACAGGATGTGGAAGAAGCAGCCTGATATATTCATCAGTTCACAATGTCTTCGAGTATAATACTAGATTTAATGCTAGGAAGATGGCAGCCTTTATTGACGGGGAGATAGGAACTCTGTGTTTTCTTACAGAGCTAATCTGGTGTGGACCACAATATGCTTCCCCAATTTGCTTCTTCATGGGCAAAGCACCTCAAGCACCATCCTTATTGATCCAGCCTGAAAAATGGGGCCAGGAGTCACCCAGACAGTTGGAAGATACCCCCTGCTTTTCCCTCCCTCGTTCCAATGCTAACCCTGGACCTAAGAGAAGGGAATTAACGTTTGGGGAGCATTAACATTGTGCCAGGACTATCGAAGGCACTGTGCGTACACTATCTTTGAATCCTTACAATACCACCCAATCAAGTGAGGCATTGATAGCTTCATGTTATAGATGTCAAACCAAGACTCGGAGAGATGTAATAACTTGGCTGGGTTATACAGTGTTAGAAGAACCAGGATTTAAATAAATCTTGTGCCCTTACCACTCTACTTTGCTAAGCACTTGGAAAGCAAATTGGAAGAGGCTATTCGCTCAGCTGGGGCAAAGGCCAGTAGTAGACAAGGCTGCTTGTCTCTAAGTCAGATTAGTCACTCTGTTTTCATTCTTTTCTGTTTTCTGCTTTCTAGTGTGTTTATGTTGAAGGTGGGGCTGTTGGTCTCTCAGAATTTGCAGCTGCAAATGGGCTTTAGCCCTCCTCTCTGCAGCTGTGACTGTGTCTCGGGGCCTGGGTTTTCCTCTTGCAGGAAGGAATCATTAGCTTGTCACTTTTCTTCTTCCATTCCCCACCCTCCTCTGTATCTTGGGGCTTGATATGATTAAGACCTGGACTGCAGGACAGGCAGAGAGCCTTACTGATCCCTCACTGCTCCCTGGCCCTCTTCCTCCTCATTCCTTCCTGCCTCTGTGGGGAAGGGAGGTGAGCAACTGTTGTTCATCACGTGTTTCTCTAGACTCAGTTACCTGTTCCTGAAAAGCACTAGCTTGCTCCTCAAATCCCGCTGTTCGGAAATAATTGACGACGTCCATTACAGCCCAGTCTGCAGGATCGGGTGGTCTCCCATTCTCCACCGAACTGCAAAACACAAACCCAGACTGTTGTCACGGCAGAGCATGCCAGCGTGCAGCCAGGCCCAGGACACAGGCTCCCAGTGCAGGCCAGGCCAGCCCTTGGGAACCATGGCCCTCTCTTCCCTAGAGAACCAGGTCGCTTCCCTCAGGACCTTAGTCATTCTTCAGTCTCTGGGATTCAGAACATCATTAGTTTCATTGGCTCAGTCACTGCTTTCCTAATAAACCATTAGGCCTTCAATGCAAAGTGTTTCTTCATGTGCTATTTTTTAATCCACAGATACTAAGAATGGTCCAGTGATTTCCGGCAGCCTACAGTATGATTCTCCTGAGTCAAGAACACTAGTCCTGTTACAAAACAGCCCCAACATACCTGTTTTTTTCCATCTCCTACTACCCTCCTCATTCCCGTTCCCAGACATCCTCTCTGCAGCTGTGAGACAGCAGAGCTAATGCCACTCCCCAGTGTGCCACGCCCTTTTACAGCTCTGGGCCTTTTACCTGTGCCTTTCCAGCCAATTACAATGCCCTTCCCATTCATTTCTACCTGACAAAATCCACCATTCCTACCTAGTTTATCCTAGTTCAAGTGCTTCCTCCTCTGTGAGGCATTTTCTTGCTGTACCAAGGAATTGTTTTAGTTATAACTTCTGTCCTTTGAGAATGCCACTCAAACTCCCAAGGTGGCACTTCCACGCAGGATTTCACTCTCTGCTCATCAAACACTTTCTCCCACCAGAGTGAGAGACGTGGACTGGCGATACACATGTGGACCTGGACCATTTCTCACTTTATTGTTCCCAGTGTGGAGCACATGGTTAGGAACTCAATCAATGCTCAAGTGACTAGATATGATCAAGCACTTGACTGCGAGGATCGGTGGGTAACCACCTGGGCTGGACTCAGAGAGGAGGGACAGAAATGGACTAGAGAAAGACTGGCAGTGACCTGCCACTACTGTGACTCTCTCATTTCTGTTTTGGGAGCATCTGTCTGGATTTCTCTGCACCTCATCCAAGATGATTCTTCCAAAGTGAAAATCCAATCGCTTAAAACTCCTCCAGAGACTTCCCACTGCTTTTAAGGTAAATTCCAAATAGCCTAACTTGGCTTAAAAGATCCTTCAGTACAAAGCTCCTGCTAGCTCTCCAGCTAGAACACATGGCGCCTGTGGGCCTTCGGTCCTGTGGGGAGACACTGGTCAGGAAGCACACAACCAAGTGTACAGCTGCACGTCATGGCAGGTGCAATGGACAGTTTAAGGGGCTAGAGTGGGCTTTTCTGTGGAAGTTTCCTCTGAGGTAAGGTCTAGAAAGCAGCCAAAAGTTAACCAGATGAAAATGTCAGAAGGTTAATCCCGGACCTTTGGCAGGAAGATACACTACCAAGGGAGCCATGCTGCTCTTGGAGGCCACACCGAGGACTCTGGGTTTCTGTGTGCAAACTATGGGGCCCTGCTGAATGGCCCTACACAAAGCAGGAGACCCGATCAGATTCACATTGAAAAGAGCACTGGAGAGGAGCCAGAAGGGAAGAAGAAGTGACAGTGAGAGGTCTAGTTGAGGCATCCAGGCAGGAAATCATGGTGACCAAGGCTACAGCAGTGACTATGGAAAAGGAGAGAAATGTATGGATTTAAGAGAGATTTAACCAATAAAATCAGCATGACTGAAGCAGTGCACCAGAAATTTAGCATGAGGGACATGGAACTTCATAAATAATTAATTCACTTAGATGACACCCCTGGCTAGTTGGACACGCTGAATTTGGGGTACCACCAATAATCAAGTAGAGATTTAACGTGGGACATGACTCTGAAGGTCAAAGCAGATGACTGGGCTCGAGGTACGCAACTGGGTGCCCAAAGCATTTAGATGGTAGTTGAAATCTTGGAGAGGATGAGAAGCAAGCTGGGCCTACAACTGAGCTTGGGGAGGTTCGACATTTAGTGAAAGTTGAAAAGATTCATGTTACTTTTAATGGAAATGATATTGCCTAGATATTGGGGATTCCTGAAAGTCTTCAAACATCCAGAAGTCCAGAGTCCAGCTGTACTTCTGCTGCCCTCCCAGCACAATCTTTTGCTCATAGTAGGAACTTAAAATATTTGGTGAAAAAATACAAACTTCTGTCTTAACTAAAGAAAAGGGAGTCACGAATGATGCAGGTGTGATCAATGGTTTATCAACACAGCACTTCTTTTAAAAACGTTTAGAGTGAATGCTTACTGGTTAGACGTGTTTTCTATTTGGGGTTTAGGGGTTGGGAATCTATAACCAATACATGCCCATGGACATGCACACCTGTGTGCACACATACCTTCCTACCACTCAACAGGCAATGCACATGGGAAAACACTGTCAAACATGAATGATATATATTAATATCAAAGCTACATGGGCTTAAAAAATTACCCACAAGCTGGGATTTTCTACCATGCCATTAACATAAGCAACATGAGCTGACACAGGGGACTCTCTTTAGGGTACTATTTTCCTTCTCTCTCTTGCTTAAGGTGGGCTTGGCGAATGTTCAGAAAGGAGTTTGTTGTTCTAACAAACCTTTTAAGTTTTCTAATCAGCTCACTTCCAGCAGTGGGCACAGAGTGCCTTCGGATGTACTTTTAAGTCCCCCAGAAAACATCTGAATTCACTCTCCCCATGGATGGCTTCAATTAGCTGCCTTTCCTCATAAAGAATAGTTATCTAATTATAATAGCAAAGTATGCTACATTCTAATTTTAGGGTGGGAGGCTTTCCTGATTCTTATTATGCTGGGATATGACATTATTCCATCCGTAATTCTGAAACATTCTTTAGTACTAGCAAAGGAGCGGAGAACAAGAACTTGGGAAAACTGCTGGCAGTGCACCATGAAGAACAGGAGCGATGGGGAGCTAGGTGCTCTCTCATTCTTAGGTGAGGGGTTTACACAGAAGACACCAGTCAATGCATTTAGTAAGTGATCTACCCTAGTTTAAGCCTCATAGTTCCCTCCCCCGCAAAAATAATTGGAAGGAAAATCACAATGTTAGACTACTCTCATCCTGTGAGGAGAAACCTACCCGTCCATCTTCATCTCTCCAGCTCCTAGCACAGGTCTGATGATGCATAATCAATACAGAGAAAATCTGTTACACTAATGTACTAACAACCAGAGAGTTCTTAGAGTCTACAATATACTTCACACATGACTTATTTGCAGCCTCCCAGCTATGTGCTTGTGAACTGGCTACTGTATTGGTTTTTAGGAAACTAAGGCTCAGAAAGGTTAAGATACTTACCCAAAATCACATAGTAAGGTAGATAAGCCAAGAATGGATTCCATACATGTTTGCCTCCAAATATATGCTTTCTACTCACTGATACAACAAACATTGACTGAAAGGCTACTGTCTTCTCAGGACAGCGGTAGATGCAAGGTTATAGAGCTCGGAAAGCGTGGGCAGGCCCCACTGCCCTCAAGAAGCTGGCTCTCTGGTAAGGGGAGCAGACATGTGAACGGTGAACTCTGTCGCACTGGAACTGAGGGGGAACAAATGCTAGTAAGGCCGCGTGCGCTGGAGGGCCCATACAATTCTGCCTGACTAGGACACTTAAAGATTTTCCATGGCAATTTTGAAAGATGTCCATTGCTCCAAACATACCCTAAACTTGGCCCTGAGAGAGGATGGCTTGCAGAGGCAGGTACATGCAGGCACACACTGTCATTCCCAGGCTGTTTAGGTTAAAAGCACGATGGATGGTTTCACAGGGCCCTCCTGGTGGTTTCAGCACAGTCTTGAGGGGAGAGCTAGAGACAACCCAAAGCAACCTGACAGCTGGGGAGGCCAGTGCACCAGGGCCAGGCAAGATTATAACATTTCAGAGGACGGATTTAAGTGTCACTTTTCCCCACTAGCAAAGCTATACTTCTCCTCAAGGACTGCTGTTTGTTCCCTTTTTAATGGACCATTTTCTCCAAATCTTTTCTTAAAACACACGCATGTCAAATTCCAGAAGGAACTGAAATGGTGCTGCTTAAAACAGTGCCCAGCTGGTGATTCCTATTGTGGCTGTTAATTTTGTGCTGATGAAATGAGATGGCAGATACAAAAGTTCCACTATCATTTAATATTTATTATTCACTGTTATCATAACAAAATGCTTCTTAGAACATAATGTATAAAGATGATCAGTTCCTGAATCAATTTCCAGGCTCAGAATTTTAAAAAACATATATGCATTTTACCTTATTAAAAATTAGCAAGAAACCAGAGCAGAACTTGTCTACTATGCCACCACTTAATTAAATTAGTGCTTCCATTTAGTCCCTGTGCATATGGTTAGGTGCATCATGCACTGATAAAAATTATATCATGCGTGAATAATTCACACAGGGAAATGATTACCCCTAATTAAACAATCACCTCACTTTTAAAGAGCGCTCGAGAGACATCATCGTGGGAACAGAAATGCAATACCATAACCCATTTGGCAGATGTATGCAGACTGGGACCTTACAATGAGCGTTTTCATGTTGGCACATTATCCTTTTAAGTGCTGGCAGAAAATAGTCTCCATTTCCCTCTGTATGTCAGTGAAGGCATGTGGAAAACAGCCGAAACTCTTTCTCTGAATCTAGTATGTGTATACTTTACAGTACTTACGGTATTATAGGTTGTGAGGGATGATTTGACCAAAAGGAAACTCTGGATAAATGCAACCCATATGTGATTCAAAATCCCATTATACACATTAATTGCATTTCTGCTTTAAAGTTCAGAGCAAAAGTTACTTTAGACACTGGATAATATATTATGGTGATATATTTATCACATTACTCTTTTTATAAAGATAATTCTCAATGCTACATAAGTTCCCACTCAGAAATGCACTCTAACTTTGTACTGCCTTGATATTTATAACTTACTTTCAAAATTAAATTAATCTACTCTTTGCCCCTGTTTTAAAACAGCCTTTGGCTAAAAGCAGTATCATCCTGATTGTAATAAATTAATATTGA